TCAATGATGGTTTTATGCAAGATTACATGAAATGTGGAAATTAAATTTTCAGAATGAAACCACCAAGATTAGTACTTTTATACAGGAGTTCTTGATGTTCAGGTCCATTTTGAAACATATTTTGTTTTAAGAAAGGTTGTTGCTAATTTAGTGGGATTATATGAGATGAACTTATTTACCCAGTGAAGACCAGTTCAGATTACTGATAGAAAATGCAATAAATTTAGAAGTGGTTGTTAGCTTTCATTGCAATTTTCTCATGGGTACGGTTTGTTTAGAGCCTAGCTTCAAATAATATAGAGAAATGTGGTTTCAATACTGAAAATCTATGTGATCAACATTAAAATACATTATTGTCTTTATTTATAAAGTTTAAAGCTTAAAAAATAGTGTATCGTCATATCTATGAAAACTTGATATTCTTGAAAATTGACGGTCCAAAAATGCATTACAAAATACATTATTTCTAAAAGTTGAAATCCATTTTTTTCTCATGTCCATGCATCTTGAAGTCGAGATGTTCAATTTGAAGATATTTGGGCATCAAAACAACATCTTCTAGTAAAATTTTTTAAGTAGGCTCAAATTTGATTGTTTATCTGTATAAACTTCACCCTTTTCTCATTGATGCTTTGAGAACTTGGAACACGACAAGTTTGCTGGTGTGTTTGCTTCTTTTTCTGTCTATATTGTTTGTTGTAATGGATACTAGAAAATCTGATTGAATTTCAGAGTACGTCGTGAAACCTTTGCGGAGTTTTTCCATTTTTAATTTTGATGGACCCTGGGATACCAAGCTCACTCTAAAAGAATTTAGGATGATTTCTTGATTTCTTTGCATTGTGTACTGCTGACGCACTAATCCGGGACTCTCAACCCTAACTATTTGTCATTTAGATTCACACATTGTGATCATTGAATATTAGAGGAATTTCTTTGCTTTAATAGTTAACTTACACACACATATAATTTAAGGAATTTCAATTATAAGAGCATCCACTAATATCACCTTGTTGATCATTGATCATATAGTTATATCACATTTTTTTCGCTCGTGATATCGAGCTCTCGGTATTTTGTCTTGTATTATATTTAGTTATATTCCTTTTCCCTATTTCATTTTATAATTTATATTATCTTATTATTGTTAGTCGACCCCAAATAATTGGGATGAAACTATAATAATATGAGTAATGATCCTATGAGACCCTCCACACCCATGTTTGGAGGACCTCAAAGGATCACCGTTAAATTTGACAGAAAAATCAAGTCCCACATCCATGTGATAACTTTTCTAGAGATTTGTGTTAAATTTTAATGATAATCATTTGGAGTCCTATACACAAAGGTGTGGGAGGGTCTCATAGGATCATTACTTTAATAATATTATCATCTTATTATTCTATCCTACAAAAGTTGTTGATTTGAAACTGTTTTATGCTTTTCCTGTTGGTTGAATCTTGCTGATACGAGTATCTATAAAAAATATTCTTATACCATTTGTTCTTTAGGCCAAGTGTTTTCCAGTTATTTTGATCTTCAAGTCAAGATGTAATGTGCTGTCAAATCTATTCATTTGCTTTTTCGTTTTGAAAATGGGAGAAGAAGGCTCTGCAATTGCAAAATATATTACCGAAGTAGGCATGTACTTGTCTCGCACTTTCAATATATTTATTTTTTGCTAGGTCTCTTTTTTCTTTTTCTTTTACTTTGTTTCTTTGCGAACAATCTAGAATTTCATGACATTTACGTTTGGTGATCTGCATCTAATTAATTATTAAGTATTTAACTAAGGATTGGTCTTACACTTTAAAAAAAAAAAAAAAAAAGAAATTGATGGGACCAAAGAATTTTGCACCCCCGTGCTAGCAAATGTTAATTGGCCCCATTGTGTCTCCAACCAGATCGGCCAAATCATCAATCGTCAACAAGTAGTACCAACCAATATTTTAAAACTCGGATCAGTGGGACAGACGGTTTACTCGCAGACTTATGTTATGTTAGGTCGCTAGATTGATGATCTAGATATGTCTAAATCATTGATTTTAAAAAGTTAAAAAAAAAGTGAAAAAGATAAAATTAAGATATGATTTTATAAGTTGGGAATGTATTGGGAGCCTAAAAAATACTGAATAGGATTAAAAAACAATATATATACAGTGGGGGTTTTCGTGGAAATCGGGTTGAGACCCATACCTTCTCACAACCGGTTCAATCCTAAGGGATTACGGTCTAAGTCAAAATCATTGGGTTTTCCTCCCAATCTTGAGATTTAATGTATTCAATTGAGTGTTCTTATAAGAAATTGATTGGGTACTACGAATCAAGCCATACGCTTAAAAAACTCGCCTGTCTTTTGACAATCAGATCAAGGTGTTCAAGAATTTTATTTTATTGTTATTATTTTTTGAAGTTAGTAATTTTGTTCATGAGGTTTATCTCAAGATCTTAAATTAAAAAAACATAATCGTGAGCAGTTATTTTGCTCGAGGGAGCAAGTGCACAATATGCTACCATGGGAGCATATTATATTAGAACATTTTCGCTGTAAAACCATTAGCCGTACGTAAATGTATTTTCTCGGCTTTTTATCATTTTGAGATTGATTTTAAGAAAAATTACATATATATCTATTATATTTCTCATTATTATAAAAATATCTTATACTTTGAATGATTGTTTTTTGACTTCATAACCAATTTCTTTTTAAAAAAACTATTTTACATACGCAATATAAGATATGTAAAAAGAATGGATAAACATAAGAGAGAAAATAGATAAACATTAGAAAAGAGTTAAGAAGAGTTTAAATCTAAAGGATAAAGAGAAAAAGAGTATGATAAACGCAAGAGAGAGAATGGATAAAGAATGGATAAACATATCCACGTAGCAAACCTAAATAAGAATGGATAATCATATCCACGTAGTAAACCTAAATAAGGAGACCTTGTAAACCTAAATCAGAATGGATAAACATGTCCACGCAGTAAACCTAAATAAGGACACCTAGTAAACCTAAATAAGACTCACGTAAAGTATAGATAAATATAGGGATGAGTTTTAACCCACCCAATAATGGATAAACATAAGAGAAAAATAAGATAAATATAGGGGAGAGTATAAAAAGGTAGAGAAGAGTTTAAACCTACCCTATATTTATCTATTCTCTCTCTTATTTTCAATTGTTCAAAATCTATTGAATTTGATTGTTCAACAATCGAAAGAGGGAAAATCCAGGTTTTTCAAAAATTGAAATTGGCTTAATTTCGGTTGTTGAACAACAGAAAAAAAAAGAGCAAAATACTCTTTTTTTTAAAAAATTTTTTTTGTTATGACATGAAAAAAATGGAAAGATAAGTAATAACGAAAAACTATTCAGTAGTTTCGTAATAATGCAAACTAAAATTGTTTTTTTTTTAATTTTCCTTATGACATAAAAAAAATGGAAAGATAAATAATAACGAAAACTATTCAATAGTTTCGTAATAACGTAAACTAAAATTGTCTTTTTTAAAAATTATCGGTATGACATGAAAGAAATGAAAAGATAAGTAATAACGAAAACTATTCAGTAGTTTTGTAATAACACAAACTAAACTTTTTTTTTTTTTCGTTATGACATAAAAAAAATGGAAAGATAAATAATAACGAAAGCTATTTAGTAGTTTCGTAATAATGCAAACTAAAATTGTCTTTTTTAAAATTTTTCGTAATGACATGAAAAAAATGAAAAGATAAATAATAACGAAAACTATTCAATAGTTTCGTAATAACGCAAACTAAAATTGTTTTTTTTAATTTCCCTTATGACATAAAAAAGATGGAAAGATAAATAATAACGAAAAACTATTAAGTAGTTTCGTACTAATGCAAACTAAAATTGTCTTTTTTTAAAATTTTCGTTATGACATGAAAAAAATGAAATGATAAATAATTACGAAAACTATTCGATAGTTTCGTAATAACGCAAAATATAACGAATATATACGTATTTTTTGTTGATTTTAACGGCGAATTTGGTAAAGGTAAAAACCAATTCCATCTCAAGATTTCACAACCAAACCCTTAAAAAAAACCCTAATTTGACAGTCGTTCAAGTACTAGTCTCTGTATTAAAAGAGTCCGAAATAGAAAAGGTGTTATGGTCTTATATGAGTGAGGAAGAAACTTCGTATTTTCTCGGTTTCTACTGTGAAATATAGGGTTTATTATTGTCTGAGCTTCTTTCTTAACGTATTCATTATCTTGGTTGCCGTTTCAGGAAGCGAACCAGCGAAGAGTAGATTTCTCTTTAAAAATTGGCACATTTTTGGAAAATTTCAGTTGCATTCGAGCCACAAAGCGGAGTAATTAAGAAAAGCTTATACGGGGCCGGCCTAAAGGAAAATGACCTTCACCTCCCGCTCCCAAACTTCCTTATTTAATTGTGTTTTTTTTTTATATATTTTTTTACAAATTTAATCTTCTTATTTTACAAATTTTTTTTCTATCTTTTGTTGCCTAAAACCATCCTACTTTTGTAGATCGACTCTATAAATTTAGACATGAAAACAAAAATGATTTTTTTTTAACATTATGACCTATTTTACAATTATATCAATGTCGCTTGAGCTTGAAAAATAATTAATCAAAATATAAGTTAGGTTATTATTATTTATTTATTAAAAACTTTATCAAAATACTTATAAAAGATGAAATATTTAACAATTAATATATTATTATTGTTATTATTATAATTATTAATTAAGTATAATAATTATAAATTATTATTATTAATAAAATTTATATATCAAGTCATAAAAAAAATAGACGACTAATGTATGAATTTGGTATTTTGTATTAAAAAAAAAAGAAAAGAAAAAAAAAAGAAGTATAATTGGGGGTTTAAAACTTGATTTTGGTTGACCGCATGGGTCAATACAAATTGGAGTTTTTGGTTGACCCAAAGAGTGAGTCAAATGGGAATTGGAAAGGGTTAGAGGTCATTTTCGGAATAATATTAGTTTATTAAAGGATCGATCACTCTTAAGGGGTTTAAAGCCCTTGCAAGAGCGGCAACGCTTGAAATCAGATTGTGGGAGCCAATCGTGATAGGAATCGGTTTCTGGTGAGTGGAAGGGGCCATTGACCTAGCTTGTTAGGTTGTAGCTACTTCACTTTGACATTTTCTGAGGATTTTTTAGTGCATTTTGGTGGTGTTCTTGCCATTTGTTGGAGTTCTTTGAGGATGACGAGATTCTTTAAGAATGATGATAAAATGTTGTTATTTGGACATGAAAAAACGTTTTTTTGGTTTAGAAATTGGAAGTTGTCGCTGAGAGTTTCTTGCCTTTTTATTTTTTATTTTTTTATAGCTTTTGATCTTTATGAAAGTGTGCTTGTTCTGATTTTGTTGCTGTGAATTTCTTTTCTCACTTTTTTGTGTGTACGCTGAGAATTTCGTACGTTTTTTTTTATAGCTTTTGATATTTATGAAAGTATGCTTGTTCTGATTTTGTTCCAGTAGATTTTTTTTCTCACTTTTTTGTGTGTATCTCAGGATATCTTTTATGGATTTTGGAAGTATGCTTGTTCTGATTTTGGAGATGGTATCTTGTTTTTTCTAGCTAACAATCAGACATATTTTCTTGCTTTCTGAAATTGCAGACTTACCTGGAAATGACTTCTATTTTCGCAACATTTTCCAAAAAAATAGTTATGGTTCATTGGAGATATATTTGGTTGCTTCACTATTTAATTATTTTTTCTCCCAACAATGGCTTTATGTAACGCTACATGACATGTGGAAACATAATTTATACAGTGAAAGTATCAAGGTTTGTGGCTTTACTAAAGGAGTTCTTAATGATGTTCGAGACTATTTTGAAGTATCTTTTGTTTTAAGAAATTTTATATTGATGATTTAGTGAGATTATATGACGTTAACTTACCCAGTGAAAGCCATACCAGATTACTGAAGAAAAAATACGATACAATAAAAAGTAGATATAAGTTCGGAAAAAGTTTATAGAAGGTTGCAACCTTAAAATGTAGAATTACAGATGCACCTAAAAAATCCATCGGAGAATGATGTTTAAATGTTGAAAAAATCCTCTGTTAGATCATCTTGACATCGATATGTATGAATATGAAACAAAAAAAAAAAAACGGAGAACATTCTGGGTCTCGAAAATAGTGCATCTTGCAATAGATTATCTGGACCGTCCATTTTCAAGATTTCGATATGTTTATAGATCTACTTGACTTTAACCATTTTTGGAGTTTAAAATTTTATAATTAGATATGAAAAATTTTTATATAATCGTAAGAATTTTTTTTTATCAAAATTGCATGTTGAGATAAAATTTTGAGGTACGCCTTAATTGGATTGTTTAAGGTTGCAACCTTATAAACACCACGCCCTATAAGTTTTCATTAGAATTTTCTCATGTTTGCTGTGAGAACTTGGAGTACGGCAAGTTGCTCGTGTGTTTGCTTCTTTTGATCTCATAGTACCAGGTTTCTGTATTCCATCTACGTTTTTTTGAGTTTATAAGGAATACTAGAATTTGGCTTTTACATAGAAAATCTGAAAAATTTCAGCATCTGATTTTTATCAAGATTATTGTTGGTTTCAGCCTATCTTAAGGATGCTATACTGGATTATAAGTTTAATTTTTCATCACGCCCTTCCCATCACATAATGAGACCTCGGCTGGCTTTCTCCATTTTGAATGTTTTGATGGATCCCACGAACTATCATGCTCTCACTCTAAAGAATTTAGGAAGATTTATCGATTTTACTTTCATGTGCACTGTGTAAGCACTGAGCCGGGACTCTCTACCTTGATTATTTGTCAATTTGGATTCAGATGGTGTGATCATTAAAGATTTAAGGTATCTCAATTATAAAAACTTAGATGAAATTTATATAAAAAGTCAACATATTTCAAAAAAAAAAATTAGATGAAATTGCTGATTATCAGTCATGTTCTTATATCACATATTTTTCACTCATTTTATCAAGTTCCTTGTGTTCCATATTTTATTATGTTTATTTGTGTTTCAATTTCCTGGTTCAATGTATGTTATCTCATTATTGTGGTATACAAAAGTTATTAATTTGAAACTGCTTTATGCTTTTCTTGTTGCTTGTATTTTGATGATATGAGTATTCAATAAATATTCTTATTTGATTGTTGGTTATGCTAGATGACACCCATAGTGGCCTGATTCTTCCCATTTTTCCTCATTCCTTTAGATCTTTGAATGAGGATGTGATATTCTCTCATATCTGTTTGTTGACTTTTTCAGTCTGAAAATGGGAGAAGAGGGCTCTGCAATTGCAAAAGATATTACTGAAGTAAGCATTTCCTTGTTTCAACTTTTTTTTTTTTTAACTTTTTGCTGGATCGCTTTTATTCTTTTTATTTTACTTCTTTATGAAGAAACTAGAATTATCTGACATTTGACTTTTGTTTGCTGATATGTGAACAGTTGATTGGTAAAACGCCTTTAGTTTATCTTAATAATGTCACAGATGGTTGTGTTGCCCGTGTTGCTGCTAAACTGGAGGGGATGGAGCCCTGCTCCAGCGTCAAAGACAGGTATATTTTGGCATCCTTTTAGTGTAAGTTGAATAAATTTTCTGATTAGTCAATGATTAAAAGGAAACATAAGAATGAAAAATTCCCTGATTTCATCTTGCTGCATTTCTACTTGTAGGATTGGGTACAGCATGATCTCAGATGCTGAAGAGAAGGGTCTTATTACTCCTGGACAGGTTTATTCTCTGTGTTTGCTGTATTTCTTTCTAGTTTCCATTTTCTTCGAAGATACGTTGAAAAATTCAAACCTTGTAACTTTCTATGTACCTAATGTCTTTTATATAAATCTAATCTGTAATCAAATTTCTATGATTAGTCATCAGTAGGGAACTTATGAACTGTCTGACAATTCAATCAGGATATTTCTTGCCTCTCATTCTATACCTGTATAAAGCATACGGAGTATAAACCAGCGATCAATTTTGTTGTGAAATTTGAAGCCAGGTTTCTGGGCAGTGGTGCTGTTGATTGAAAGAATCCTACCCATATAATGTTTTTATAAATTACTGTTGACTTGACTGTTGACTTGTACAATGTTGTTGAATATTTAATTTTATTACCCCAGCAATCTGGTGAATACTAGTCATCAAAGAATATTTTGGCTGGGAGGTTTAGATTTTCAAGGCTAGTTTATCCTCTGTCAGGATTCATTTTAGGGGTATAAATGTGATTGCTAGAAAAACTAGCATTTTGTTTATGTGCCAAAGAAATTACATTTTGGCCAAAAAGCCCAGATTTTGGTCCAAGTGAAATAAAAAATATTGGGGTAAAGTTTGGATCACATTTTGTTCTAATTTGAGCTGAATTTTATCATTTTTGTTGGGTGGGTCAAATTCTGGACATAATTTGATTGAAATTTGGTGATTTCATTCACAAATTTGGCCTAAAATCAAAGCTTTGTGGGCTAATACTGGACAAATTTCTTGCTGTGTCTAAGTAACTGTATGGTTTTTGCCATTACACTCTTAAACAATCTGTTCCACACTTCCACTGTGATCCCAGATATTTTTCAGAATATTAAACTGTGATTTCTTGTATGAAATTTGGATGAGTTTATTCTCTCTCTCCCCCCCTCCCTCACCACCACCACATATACACACGCACACACACATACATTTAATATGGTCATCCTTTTTCCTTTTTAATATGAGTCCAAGGGAACACGTTGTTTCTGGTTTAAGTCAGTGACTCATTTAATACTTTGTCCATGGTTTATGTCATCTGCCACGCTACAGAGTGTGTTGATAGAGCCTACTAGTGGCAACACCGGCATAGGGCTGGCCTTTGTTGCTGCTGCTAAGGGTTATCGACTCATCGTCACCATGCCCACTACTATGAGCCTTGAGAGGAGGATAATCTTGCGAGCTTTTGGGGCTGAATTATTCCTCACAGATCCTGCAAGAGGGGTGAAAGGTTGTATTCAAAAGGCGGTAGATCTATCAAAGAAGATACCCAACTCTTACATTCTTCAGCAGTTTGAAAATCCTGCTAACCCTAAGGTATGGGATGTGTTTATGACGTATTTAGTTTTTGAAGTTTAGGGTGGTGAACATTTGATTGAATTTTTGTTTTTGGAAGGTTTTCGTCAGTTTTGCCAGTAATATTTCTATGCAGATCCATTATGAGACCACTGGACCTGAGATCTGGAAAGGTTCTGGTGGAAAAATTGAGGCTTTTGTTTGTGGAATTGGAACCGGGGGCACAATTACTGGTGCAGGGCATTACCTGAAGGAGCAAAATCCTGAAATCAAGGTCAGTTTATTTGTCTTATCAGGTTGATTACGGGATAACTTATTTCTCCCAAATATCATCCTTATTGTTTCATTGCCTCTGAATCTCTGATCATTGTTTGGTTTGTAGGTCTATGGTGTCGAGCCAGTTGAAAGTGCTGTTCTGTCAGGAGGAAAGCCTGGTCAGTTATCAATTTGAGTGCTCTTAAAAAATTGAAGTGCTGGCCTTAACACTTACAGGCAATCTTATTAAGTTATTGTTATTTTGCATCATAAAATGATTTAGTATTTATTGTATGGTTGGTCTGGCTTGAGTATCAGAAATTTTCAATATACATGATTACAATGGGCTGATCTACAATTTGGTCTATAGTTTGGTAGTATAGTGCTTTTTATCTACACCTTTGGTTTTGTAGATTAATGAGCTAAAGTTCCATACCATGGAAAGAGAAAATTTTTTAAAGTATAGCCTTGCATCCTTTTTGTTGTCTAACAAAAAGAAATCCGGTTCCATCAGTGACCTTCTCATTATAGCTTGTAGGTCTACAGGCTTGCACTTTCATGAGATCAGTTGTTTCAATGTTCACATGATGCTGAATTCTCACTTATCCTGAAAGTGTATACGATGTATTGTTTCTATATGTGAATTTATAATAAATAGTTTCATAAAATAGTTGTTGATAAAATGACTTTTTTTTTTGTGCTTTCTTCTTCATTATCATTCAGGTACTCATAAAATTCAAGGAATTGGTACCGGTATTATTCCTAAGGTTTTGGATGTCGATATCTTGGATGAGGTCTTACAGGTAAGCCTTCACCTTCTTTTTCTTAATTATTGTCGGATGCAACACCACAATCTGACAAAGACCATTTGTAGCTTATTCCATTATGATTAGTTGAACCCGCAGTAGTCTTGTTTTCCTTGTTATCTGTATTAGTAATTTTGGAAATACCACAATCTGATTAGGAATCGCCCATCCAAATCAGGAATCTGCGGGACTGACCCATTACTTAGTCGGAATTTGGAATTGGTTCGATTTTGATAGACTCACACGGCTCTGTCAGAGAATTGGGCGATCTGTTAGAGAATCGGGTGATCTAGATCGGCCAAATCACCTGGATCCCACCCATTTTATTTTATTTTTTCAATTTTTTGATTCTTGTTAAATTAAAAATTTCGTTTAATTTTTTTTGCTCCAATTCCCACATCAGAGGATTGGTCCGAACTGGCCCTTATCAGCTATCTGGATGGTCCACCAGGTGACCCATCCAGCCTCTTGATCTGGATTTTAGAACTTTGATCTATATAGTCCCTTGTACTATCTTGAATCGATGAATTCGTAGAAAGTGGAAGTAACTGATTCAAGCACTAATAATGCTTACATATGCAAGTAAGGAATCATTACATAGATATTGTCACACCCCAT